GTTTAATATAATTTTAATTTATATTATTATATTAATTTATATTATTAATTTATATATTTTATTTAGATTTAGGATTGTGCCAAGAAATGTTTCACAAAATTTGTAATATAGCGGTTAAATTTTATAAAAGTATTTATAATGATGAAGCCACATGTCAATATATGACTATGCAAATAATTAAATATAAAAATAGAACCTTTTCATTTGATTTTGATTATAATTTTTCCAAACCACCCAAATTATGGTAGAGAGTAATTGAAGATGATTATCCCTATCTTCAAGACTTTGCTTGGATTCTTTTTGCAATAGTTCCCTTACAAGCAAACTATGAACATAACTTTTCAATTCTAAAATGGTTTTATGACACATATCAATCAAGATTAACACTTGAACAAATTGAGAGTATGGCATAAATTCATTCTTTTTATATTTCTAATCTTAAAAAAGAACTTCTATTTTATAGAAAGGAATTATCTGAAGATGAGTTATATGATAGTGCACTGAATCAAACAGCATATTCGACAGTTAAAAATAATAATATAATTTTAAGTAATGATGAAGAATTATTAGCAGATTTACAATTAAGTAATGAAAAACTTGAAATTGGATCAATCGTTGACTTGTCAGATTCTATATTTGGTGGGCAAGGTAGTTCTAAAGAATTCTCTTCTACAAGCATATAAGGAAATAGCAATTTTGATTTTGACTCTGTTACTATTGTAGAAAACGAATTATCTAATGCAAATTTGTTATAAAAGTAAGTTTTTTTTAAAAAGTCAGTTTTATTTAAAAAAACAAAATTATAATTAAACCGTTCAACTTTAATTTAGACCATGGTTAAAAAAATGTCAAGTTGAAAATTCTAAGACAACAAGAACTCTTGGTTGAACAATTTTATTAAGCACAACAATCGTAATTCATTAATATAACAACGATTTTTTTTTTTATATGTTATCTTATTTACATTTATTATAAATGTTTGGTCATTTGTATTTTCTTTTTGTATTACTCTTTTGGTACTATACATGTTAAAAATGAAACATATAAATCAAATTTTTAATGCATACGTACAATTAAATAGCTATAGAAATTAGCAACTAGTGTTATTATTTTAAATAAAATTGGTGATACAAGACAATTTAGTTAATGCATTAGGTCACATGCATGTTATCATTTATTATAGTTACATGTTTTAATTTGGAACCTGGTCAAAAGTTTTGGCTAGTTCCAAATATAGTTTGGGATATGGCACAATTGTAAAATCTAGTAAAAACCTTTGGGATTTTGCTGAATCCCAAACTACTGGATTTGGACAACATCGCTAGTTTGTATCACAAACACAAATAATTATACTCATTGGCATTGATTATTTTACTTACAGCCTATGTATAAAAATATTATTTATACCTTCAAATATTTTCAGTTTGGATCATTTTTGATTTAAAATTATTGTTTTTTTATTAATAAAGGATTTACAGTAATATTCTAATTAAGAAACCATCAACACCCATTGTTAAAATCACTGTTTCATTGTTGCCAATCACACCCAACATTAAATCACAAAATATAAAAATCAGGCAAATAAATCTTCACAGTATTAAAATATTAGCATAGATTGTCCAACCTTTTAATGTTCTTTGATAAACTTATGTACATACATAATAAAGATTTTGTAAGATTCATCAACAATCCATCTCTACACTAACAATTTATCAGGCAAACCTTACTGCTCAAACTTTATTAATGAATAGCTGTCAACAAAATAAATGAATGATTGTCAACAAAATAAATGAATGATTATCAACAAAATAATTCATGAAATTGGTCTACATCAAAGTATTCAGCTATTTCTAGCATTTAAAATAGCACTAGCAATATCACAAAACAGCCAAATTAAAATTCGATAAAATTTTTCTTATTTTATTTTATGATTGAATTAAAGTAGGTTTAATTTGTTATCGCTATGTAGTTGTAGTAACATCGTTAATGCTATTTTAGATGCTAGAAATAGCTGGACACTCTGGTCTATGTATCAATATATATACTACATTGGGGTGTTCGATATATATCAATTTGATATGGTATCATATAAAAATTTAATATCAAAGATTTTTGTATAACTATGTCGATTTTATTCATATACAATACACTCCATTATAAGATTATTAAAAATATTTAAAGCAATGTTAGGTCTGAATTATAATATCTGCATTTTTTGAAAAAGAGTTTTTTTTTATTTTTGATTTTTTTTAATTCATCTAGTAAATTTTTTTTTATTTTATTTAAGAATAATTGTAATTTAGACTGTTTAAATAATAGTAACATATTTAAATATATTTTTAAATCTAATTTATTAAAAAAGCTTTTTACTTGTTGTTATTAAATAATTAGAAAATAGGTTTAAGTCTTAACAAAATTATATAATTCAAAAAATTATATATAAGTTACCTATTATTAATACAGAATTATTTAAACTTTTATAAAAATTACTATCTTACAATAATAATTTATACAAATCAAAAATATTATTTATTTTATTTTTTAGATTGTTTTCAAGCTCTTTAGCAAATTATATTTTTATATTTGTTAATAATCCAATTCAAAATTTTTTAAAACTATATAAAAAAAAACTTAAATTAAAAGATTTAGCAAAATTATCATTAAAATAGTAAACAAATAATAATAAATAAAACTAAAATAAAACTTATTTTTTGAAATATTTTAAAGTTTTAGTAAGTATTTGCTTTAAACTATTAAAAAATAATCCAAATTCCTTATTAGATAATCTATCTAATGTTTTTATTAACTTATTTACAAAAATTCTTAGCAATTTCTTGAAAAAATTATATTATTTTAAATTTTATCAAATAATTTGTATACTTTTTAATCATAAAGTAATTTTACTAATAGTTTATTTTAGTAAATATATGTAACTACATCTTGTTCTTATATAAATTGCATCAACAAACTATAAAAATATTTAGCAAAATTTACTAAACACTTAATTTAAATATTAATTTAGATTATTTTTAATATTTTTAAAAAAATAACTTTAATTTAAAATCAAGAAGTCATGATACTAATCATTAAGCTATTACTTTTGAGATTTATAATTTTTTATTTTATTAATAAACTAATTAAAATTTTAATATGTACTAAATATTGATTCAGATATTGTTTAGCTATTTGTAATTTGTATTTTTATTATATTCAAAATAGTAATTAATATTTATTATAATAAAATTTTAAAGGATGTAATGACCTAGTAAAGTGGTTAGATTATTAACCCTTTAAGTGGTAGATTGAATGTTCAAATCCCATTGATAGTAAAAATTTAGATAATCACCTATGTAATATTTGTATTACAGCAACTATTATAAATAATTAGATTAGAATACTTGTAATAACAATTACGCCAGCATAACTGGCAGGTTATGAGGCATCTGCACAATGTTGGAGTTATATAGAGAAATGCAAACCAACAACTAGACAATGCAAACATTAGATAAGTACTTGTGATCATATAAATCTGATAAAATTAGATAACAAGAAGTTTATTTGAAAAGACCTGAGTAGAGAGATAGTTAGATCTTTAATAGCACTACTATAAAAGCTAGCTTGAGAAAACAGATACTTAGGTTTTAGTAACCAAACAGACAAGAACCTCTAGGTTGGAAGTCTCAAAAATATTAAAAATTAGGTTACTAGAATAAACTAGAAGAAAAAGATATTAGGCTAATCTAATATACTGATGAACTGGTCATAGTTCTATATAGGCTATTTGAATTAGGAGTTTAATAAATTTAGAGGTATACTAAAGTACTAGAAGTTATGCTGTAAAGTAGATGCTAAGATCTGAGTGAACTTTACAAGAGCATAGCAGTTTAATAATTAAGCTCTAACTGCAAGTATTGGTTCTGCTATAGCAATATATAGGTCAGTTGTAAAAATAAATACAAAAGCTTTAGGCAGTTTACTTTGAAAATAAATTAGTCTTAAGGTTGAGATAATAATTTGAACATCTGAATATAATTCAGTAAGTTAACACAAATTACAGGTTCAGAGAATTTAAATTAGAATACTTAAGCAGAAATCTTAAATATGACAATTGGTAGAAAACTTTCAAATGAACTCCTTAAATAAATAATATAAAACAGTTATATATATAGTCAATTGTATGTTCTTCTGTAATAGTTCATAGAATTACATTACCAAAAAGTCAGTAATAAAAGTTAAAAGACTAAAAAGATTGCCTTAATACCAAAAAAAAAATAATAATAATAAAATTTTAACAGATCATTATACTAGTTTATAAATTTAAATTAAAATTTTGTTTTTATTATTTAAATTATAACTATTATACAATTTTTAAGCCAAATAAAACAAATTATAAAAATACAAATTTCTTAAAAATCTTATATTATTTAAAAATAAACAAAAAATTTGTTATTTAAAATAATTAATTATAATTTAAATAATATAAAACTTATAACTAATTTATAATAAACTTGTATTTGTTTTTTTATTAAAAAGACTAATAGTTTTTTTTCTTCTAATATAGTTTGTTTTTATATTAATTTATTAACTATTAATCTAAATATAAGCATTTTTAACTTAATTAATTAATTCTAAAACATTTAAATTATATATATATAAAATAAAAATAAATAATAGTTTAAAGATAATTTACTAGTTAAAAATTTATAAATTAGTTATATATATTTAGTAGCAAACATTATAATATTTAGTCTATTTGTAAAATACTTATTGTAAACCAAATTGTATTTAAAAATATAATTTTTTATTTGATTTAAAAATTAATTTAACAACCTATTACTTGAAAGTTGACAACCTAACTATTTCACTAAGTTACCAAACCTTTTAGTTATATTGTAATTAATATTTAAAAAACTAAGGACCTACTAAAAAAATAATAAACTTATATAAAAATATAATTAAAAAAATAATTACATATTTTTTTAAAAAAATATTATATAATTAATATATTAACTCTTTCAATAATTATCAACTTATTCTTGCAAATCTTTCAACAAAATTATCAAGAAACAAAACCAAAAAACAACATAAGACATACTAGAAAACAACATATAGCTCATAACAAAAAGATAAAATAGCAAAAGTTATATATAATAAAAACACAAAAATATAAATACAAGTTTATAGATAGTATAACAAAGAAACAAAAATAAAATTTTTAGAAAAAAATTTGGGTTTTGAAAAATTTTGGTAAACAGCTGTGACCTTGTTGTGCAAATCACTTATATATATAAAAAAACAAATAAAACAAACAAAGCAATTAAGCAAATATATATATCAAAATAGTATAACCAAATAAAAACAAAGTATATAAAAAAGAAAGAACCTAATTCAAAATACAAAAATATAGACTGATGGCTAAAACACATATTGTAAATATTTAAGATCACATTAAAAGAATAGAAGATAGAAATTGTAAATATATAAATTACAAAATATAAACTAAGTTCTTAAAATATTAACAAAAAGCTCAAGCAATATAGAGCATATTACAAAAAACTTAACAATTTATAACCCAAAACACATTACATCACATAACTTGCTAGTATATAGTCAAGTATTAAAAGCCTTAAGAATAACAGAAATAAGCTAATTTAAAAAAAATAATTAACAAGTAAACAGAAAAGCTTAGAGCAATAAGTTACAATCCAAGCTTATTTGAATATAATACAAATATGAAAAAAGAAAAATTATATTAAAAAAAAAATAGAATTAATAAGGTAAGAAATTTAGTTAAAACTAATGAAACAAAAAGTATTATCAATAGAAAGCAAAATCAAAAGAAAAGAAATAATCTTAAAGAGATAGAACAAAGATTTGAAATACTAGAAGAACAAATAAAAGAGCTTAGTATCACTATATCACAACATCAAGCAAGTTAAACTATTAATAATTTTAGAAGTGTGGCAACTTAATAAAATGGATAAGTTGTCAACTTCCCAAGTGGTAGGTAGTGAGTTCAAAACCCACTAATAGTAAAAATTTAGATAATCTTTTATATAATATATAGACAATATTATGGTGATGGCATTTTGTCGATCAGTTAAGATAAGATATCTGTAATACAGTTGTACCAGTATGACTAGCAGCTCATAAGGCATCTGTGCAATATTGGAGTTACACAGGGGAATGCAAACCAGCATTGGGCAGTGCAAACCCAAAATAAGTTCTTATAGCTATATAAATCTATGAACTAGAAAGCTAAAGCCCACTTGGAAAGATCCAATTAGAGAGGTAGTACAGATCTTTGACAGTACTACTGTAATGA